CTGCCTCAGAAATCTCTCTGGCTCTAAGAGGACCTGTAGTAGTAAGGAAAATTTGATTTATTTGTTTGTATGTGCAAAGCTTTGGGCTTTTTTAACAGTAGAGATGTTCAAATTGTTTTATAAATACCTCAGGTTTATTTTAAAATAATTTTGCTGGGCTAGCAATGTGAGCTTCGCAGCACTGAGGAAATAAAAAAAAAAAACCCCAAAAACCCACAAGTTTGTCTTTTTAATACTGCCCAAACTGAAAGAAACAGAAGTAGTAAATAGCATTAATTGTAGTTGAGTGAATGTTTGAAGTCTTCTTGAATAAAAAAAAATAGTAAAGGCCTTAATGAGAAAATTTTTTCTATCAGGAGTTGCTAAAACCTTTTTTTTTTTTAGGTCCCAAAACTGTGTTTTCAAAACAGCTGTGACTCTGTTGACAGGCAATTGCTTATTTGACTGTTCCCTTACTAAAAGCTGGTTTTATCCTGATCTCACCTGGAGAAGGTTTCTCTCTCCCTGTACACCCTTCAACTGAAAAAAAACCGCAGATCAAAATGTAGTCAACTTCCTACCTTTTGTGCAGTGTTGCTCAAGGATCTTACTGTTATCAAAGTCCAGGATGATGCAGGTCTCATCTTGAAACAGGGGTTCTTATTTTAAAACAATGTATTAATGAACAAGGATAGAGGGAAACTTCGGACAAGTTGTTTGTTGGGGTGGGGCTGAATCTTGCCTGAGCTCAGGGCATTCTGTAGGCGTTTGCTGAACATGGTAAAAGAACCTGCACTGCAAAAGTAATATCTGCACTTGAGTGCATGCGGCAGGCTGCAGGAATTCTGCTCGTACTCACGTTAGTCAAAGTTGACCAGTAACTCTTATTAAATTCTAAACATTCTTTTAGGTGTATTTTGTTGTGAATTTGGTACCCTTGACATTATTTTGGTCAATTTCCTAAGCTGTTTGCAGCAGTTGCTCGTACGTCCTAATGAGAAAGGCAGTCAAGGGCACCTAACACTGGAAACAGAGGTTTTAAGGTGGGAAAGGAGAAACTCGGTGGTGGGCTGCAGCATCAGGAACTGCTTTTACCTGTTAGTTGTTGGAAAAGAATCTGATGAAGAGGTAGCATTTGGATGATCAAAACACATACTTTACGTAGACTTTCTGTAACTTCCCAACTGATAATAAATGTGCCGTGTTTCATTAACTTGCCCTGGAGTTAGAGTAACACTTTCTCTGAATCACTCCATTAAGAAAACTGAGAGGTGCTCTAGGAACAAACTTTTTAATGCATATGAAGTTCAGCAAGTAGTGGCACCACACTAGACCCTATTTGCAAGGCGCTCTGCCTAAAATACTGAGATTAATGTGACTGAAATCATCAATCTCAGTAGGTGTCCACTTGGGATACTTAAGTAGGTACTGAGCACAAGTCACCCAATTGCTTCCAGGTCTTTGGTTATTTCTAATCTGTTGCCAGGTCTCTTGCAACTTTGGCATTTTAGTTCAGGCAATTTTCAGGTTTCATTAATCAGTTAAATAACTGGCAACAGTCTTTTGAGAGACCAAGTGACACCAAGAAGTCTGTCTGCGTGGAGAATCTTCAAAAATATTGAAGTGTGGAGAGCAATAAACCCAGATTCAGTCAAGCCCTTGCCCCCTTCCTGTGTGTCTGTGCTCCGTTCAGTTAGTTTCATATTGAAATAGACAACTCTGTAAAAGCTGGAAAAAAGTTTTATAATTCTTCTGTCACCACCAAAAAATACATCTGCTAGAATGTTGATAAAATATGGTACTTGCTACTCTTTGCATGGATGAGACAGCTAAGCTATCTCCCTTATTTGATAGATATGGTCTTTCCAACTTGGATACGACGCTTGAGGGAACACCAGATGACATGACAGTTGTAGATGCTGCCTCTTTAAGAAGACAGGTATGTAAAGCATAGTAGTCGATAATATTAAGAAAAAGCTGTAGTGGTAAAATGGGGAGCAGGCTTTCTGTGTGGCTGCAAAGGTGTCCGTAACAGATCTGGTGAGAGATCCTCTCTGTACCCCTGCTGGGCTGCCCTCACGTGTCCTGTATCGTTCGGGGAATCTGTAGAGTCCAACTCCATTTCTGTTCCTACTTACTAGGGACAGCAAGATCTGATCGCTAGCAATTGAAGACAAAGTCAAATTATCAAGTATGTGCAATCGGTCTCTGTGAGATACTAATTTTACACAGCTACTCAGAAGCTTCTAGGAAGTCTGACAACTTTTAACAAAGTATTAAAACCCTTTCTTTCTTTTTAGATAATCAAACTTAATCGCCGTCTACAACTTCTGGAAGAAGAAAACAAAGAGCGTGCCAAGAGGGAAATGATCATGTATTCAATTACTGTAGCTTTCTGGCTACTCAACAGCTGGCTTTGGTTTCGGCGCTAGACGCGGCTCTTGGAAAGATTTAATAGTTGAAAACACAAACGATTTGCAAAACTCTTTGTTTCTGTTTCTGAATTGTAGGCTGTTTTATAATCCATACACTGGAAACTTCCACCACAGATCCAGGCTATAGAATTGCAGTGTTGAAGGGACACCTTGTTGTTCAGTTACAATGTATTTCATAGCATTGCATTGCGAATCCTTGCAGTCTCCTCCTGTGCATGCTTCAGTGTAAACGTGGATCAGCCGATGCGAAGTTTGCTTCCTGCGATGTAAGGACAGTGACCTACAGGAACAACCACTGGATGTTTTGTGGTGGTGGGAAGAGAACAAATGGAATGTGTTGGGGAAAAAATATCAAAACAGAGGAATAAAAAGTAGTTTTTTATTGTTCTGTCGTTAGATGCAATTAAACATGATTGCACTAGTTTTCCTTTAGTCCGAGTAGTTTGAGGTGTGCCGTATTCAAGGAGTGTGTCCTGTTTCCTGAGTATGTTCCTTGTTTAAGCACATGTTCAGGTCAAATAGTAAAAGGAATTCCTTGTTAACATGCAGATTGTCCAGAGGTGTGTAATATGGTTTTTTTAGCTTTAATTTTGCAGATTTTTTTTCTATAAAACACATTTTTAAGCAAGTCAGTCTGTAAGTGATCAAAAGACTATGGAGTACAAGATACTGATGTAGTATATTTAATAAAACTCTCTCAGAAAAAAATCAAATCGTTGTTTAATGTTATTTCAAGAAAATTGAGTTGAGGGTTCATCTACACTACCAGTCTTCGAAATAAGTAGTAGTGTCGTGATGGACTGCACAACTCAAGCAGCAGGCAGGCCGAGAGCTGGCTGCAGGCTGCTGTCCCCTGCGTGTTGTAGGATTGTTCTTGGTGCATGGGGTGAGGATGCAGTGTGGGAAGCGCGCCTGGTGTCCCCACGCACCGCAGTCGGTTTGAACACCACGATCCACTGTGGTTGTGGAGGCTGCTGGTGGCCTCCTGCTGCGGTGCTGTGGCAGCCACCAGCCCTTTCCTGGGGGCACACAGCACAGCAACAGTGCTGGTGCGTGGGAGAAGGTGCGGTGGTACCAACGCTGTGCTTCGAAGGACCTTTCCTGGAACAGCTCGACCTAGACCACCATGCAGGACCATTTCTGGGCTCTCGAAGGATGCAGGCTGGTGAAGATGATGGTGCCCAGCGGCTTCAGAAGGGAAGGACGTAGGGCCTCCGTGGTGCAACCCTGGCTCACCCTGTGGCAACTGAGGCTGCAGGATGGTACTGGGGTCGGCTTGCCTTGGTGCAGAGACAGCTGGCAGTGGGGAGGTCCTGGGGAGCTGGTGGCTGCGCTCTGGTGTGGTGGCAGCACAGCTGTCCCTAGTAAGGACAGGCTCCTTGGAGAGCCGCGGCATCAGAGGCCCCGGGCATTTCCTGTAGGTCGGTGGCGAGCACCCTGTTACAGACTGCTGCTCTCGGGCATTTCAGGTGCTGCCAGGTGGAGCGGGGTGGCGTGCCCGGCGTTGGTGGCTTTGCAGGGCTGCAGCGGTGGCCGTGCCTGCTTCCTCGCACCCTCTGGGCCACAGCCGTTGCATGTCTCGGTTCCCAGCTTCGTGTGGTGCGTGACTCCGCTGGCTGCTGAGGGTGTTTGCTGTGCACGTTCTCCCACCATGACTGTCGAAAAGCCCGGGCCTTCTGTCTCGCAGTGAGAGGCATCGCCCAGGGGAGGGCCGGCTGCGCACATTCGCTGTGTTCTCACTCACTTTACGCCCTGACCCCCGTGCTGTGTGAGCTCCGGCGGTGCACGCCAGGGCTGGAGCTGCCCCAGCTTCCGCAGAGCTCCGCGGGGACGAGGGAACAAAGCTTCCTCGGCAGCGAGCGGGCTTCTGCCCCCGCAGCAGCCGGAGCTCGCTCCACGCGCGCCTCCAGCCGGGGCCC